TAAGAGTCCAACCAACAGCCAAGCAAGATTCACATTCTTGTACCTTGTTCAACACCAGTCATCTCACCTTCCCTCATTCAACTCTCCCCCACACTAATCTATCCTTACCTAACCTCTCCTCCCTGTATGCCCAAACCTCTCCATTGCCTGCTGGAAGGCAGTCTGCCTTTAGCAAAGTCTAGTGTCCCCACCGCCTAGCAGCTCTCTGCAATGCTGCTGTGTGTAATCCCCACTGTCTATACTTACACAATCTCTCCTACCCGAACGCCCCCCACATGGAGGCATGTGCGACAGCACTAGAAACAGCAGCTGCCCTTTTTTGCTGCAATCATCTTTCTGTTAATCCTCTTGTCATCTGCACACACTTAGAGGACTTTGGTGCCTGCTGTACCTCTTTTTTTTTTTACCATGATCATCGCATTCTTGGCAACATGAGATACTTTCAAACGACCTGCTTCCTCAGTTCAACATCCTCACTTCAAATTATCAACCCCCTCCAGTCAACTATCTCTACGGTCACAACCTCAACCTTTCATCACCAATGACTGCAATACCTCTGGAATTTTTGTTACAAGCATCTCACACTCAAAACCACCTCTGACAGTTCCACCAACAATAAAGCCCTCACTCCAACAATTCTTTGATGTAACCATTACCTCCATCATGATCAATCTGTCATTGTCCCATTGTCTTCCCTGGACAACCACTACAGTGACTCCCTTGCTTTTTTCCATTTTCTCCCTTCTCTTCCTGTCACTTTTGTGACAAAACGCTAACCCAACTCCCTGCCTCCTATGCCCACAACTTAAGCTGCAAATTTATAATCTCATGTCTCAAATAAGCATTCATGAACACTACCCCAATTTTAGCAAATACATTTGTTATCTGCTAGGAAAATAGAGGCAAAAAAAAGAGTACTCACCTTCCTACCACCAAATTCACCACTGACATACAATAAATAATGTAGTATATCCCAACTTTAAAAATATCCCATGACTCTGCTCCTTTTCTCTGCTTCCCTTCACTAGGCTCCTTCACAGATTGAGGACTATTTTAACCTATACAGATTTCAATGTAGCCTACCTTAATAAATTGCATTGGTTCCATTACGAGAAAAACTTAGCCTACCAATGTTTTAAAGAGTGTGTGTGCATCCTTCTCATTAGGAGATTTAAGCTTATTTTGGTAATACTTTCTATTGCTTACCACTTTATTAAAATTTTCACGTTGAACTTTTATAAAGTGTAAGATATAAGTTGAAGGAAGCGTTGTAGTGGGGGAAGGACACAAGGGGCTTTTTTGAACAACGTAAGAATGCAAAATTTCAAATGAAAGTGCTTCCTCATTTCCAAATTGCAATTAATATTCCAACTGCCTAATCTTTTAATTTTTTTATTTTTTTTATTTTTTAGGCGAGGCAACCTTTGGTTGACCTCACAGATTGCAAGGACCTTGTCAGCTTACAATTCCTTTTTTTAAAAAAAAAATTTTTTACGCCTAGCATCTGGTCTTCCTAGGTGGTCTCCCATCCAAGTACTAACCAGGTCCAACCCTGCTTAGCTTCTAAGATCAGATGGGATCGGGCTTGTTCAGGGCAGTATGGCTATAGACTTCCAACTGCCTAATCTTATCTCAACTCCTAAAAGATGAGAAAAAAATGTACAGAGACTGAATGAAAGGAAAACACTGAAGAGTGCTAACTAATGAAACCTTGGCTTTGTTTTGCTTCCATGGTTGCTATATAATGTTTGAAAATTGAGATGAATTGGAGCTTTCCTAAAAACAAATCTTACTCTCTTTTGACTAGAAAGAATAAAACTTAATTGTTCATTTTTTTAAAAAACATATAATTTTTACCTTAAGTTGTTCTACTAAAGTGGTTAATTTAGTAATAAGACAAACTGAAGGGTAAAAAAAAAAATTTAACTTAAAAGCTGATAGCAAAATCTCATTTCTAGGAGAATAGAAATTATAAAACTTTTTTCAGATGTTACAGAAAATGTTGTCAATAAGCTTAATTTCAAGGCCATAAAAAAAAGAGAATCTTGGATTCAAAGAGACTCAATAGTTGTCAAAACCATTAGGCTGATGGAGAACAATACTGCACAGCACCACAAGACCACCCACAGATTACCTAATTATAAATGCTGCCTTATGAAAGAGGGACCTAACAATTCAGCACCAATAGTGAACAACCACACTTTACAGGCTTCATGATGTGATGTGGCACTAAGTACACATCACTTTCAACATGTTCTTGTCCAAAATGCTCTTTCTACATCTGCTAGGCTCTCTAAACCTATTTTCCAATTTATAGGAAATACAGGTGACACTGGAGCAAGTGAGAATTTTCTACAAAATCAATGGGCCATAATACTCTTCAAAAAGTATCATTAGAAAAAAGGTAGACATAACTGCTCTAGATTAAAAGTAACTAAATGGAGACAACCAATTAAAACGCAATGGGTGGTTTGGAAGAAAAAAGGCTACAGATGATATTTAAGACAAACGGGAAATTTAAATAGGGGTTAAACAGTATATGAAATTATGGAGTTATAATTAATCTTTAAAAGCACAATAATTACATTGTGATTATGCATGAGAACATACTTATTCTTAGGAAATGTATGCTGAAATTTCTAGAGGTAGACTGTCATAACGTCTGCAGTGAATTTCAAATGGTTCCTAGAAAGAAAATGATACACAAAGAATAAAGTGAAAATCGCAAAATATTAATTTTTGAATCTAGATGAAGAGCATACTGTTTTTCTTTTATTATAACTTGAAATTCTTCATAATAAAGAGGGGGGGATCCTAATTTCCCTTTGCTAAGTCCTTCTTTATTAAATATAGCTAACTATCCAGCCTTGCAATTTTGCTAAATCATCTTTAAAATACATCACTGTGGAAGAGAGACTGTTCCATGACATGACTGCTGCTGGACCCTCAAGCTAGATCCAGGGCAGAACAGAGATCATTTCTTGTAAATCCCCTCAGAGACTGTCTGGTAAATCCCTCAACTATGATACATGGTATGCTGGTTCCTGAAACAGGCCACTGCCCTGCATTGGGCAAGCTCGTAAGGCATTTTCCCCTTATCTTGGGTGGGTTATACACCAGTGCCCCTACCCATCCTGTCCTGTCCTATATAATTCTTTAGCAACTGCCATGCAGCAAGGATATCCATGCTGTCTTGTCTGGGTCCCAAGACACGCCTCCTATGTAAGTTCCCTTAATAAATTCTTGATGAAATGCTGGAATTGTCAGCGTCTTTCTTTGGTTTCTCGCCCCCATCCCCCAAATTTCCCCAACAGTCATGAATTTAGTTTCAAAACTCAATGCTCTTTCTGTAATGATCTGAAAGAGGATCACAGAGTCTCACAAACTATTTCACACAAATGTCCCAAAGCACACACTGCATATCACACACTGTGATACATGCATCAACTCACAGGCTCCTCACAACCACCAGGGGACACATACTCTAACTGTTCTATTTTGGAAATTTAAAAACCGCTGCACAGAAGTTAAAATAGCTCATGTACAGTCACAAAGACTGAAAGTAGCATTGCTGAGATAAATTTCCAGTTTTAAAAATAAACACACAGATTGCTCCCATAAAGGGAGTACCACAAAATCAATGCCACTTCATTCTACCCCCGAAAAGGTTAAGAAATGGTGTTTCGACATTTCAGATATAAAAGTAGCAGTAAACAAAATAGAAATTACATATCAAAATATTTGCTGCCAGGGACTATCGCCTAATAGTCTATTTATAGAAAGAAAACAACTTTCTAAAACCATTAAGGCAAAAATGCTAAAATCCCAGAGGTCTTGACACCTGGATCACCAATGGAAAAGTACACAAGAACACTAATGGTTAAACAGAGCAAATGTAAGTTGAAGCTGGGCTGCCAAGAAGTTGTATTAAAGTTGTCGTCACAGAGGGTTCAACATGGTGAGAGGAATGTCTTATCACAAATAGCTATGTGAAAAAGGACATTTAGATAAAATCTGAATAGTACCTAAATATTAAATAAGAAATAACTGTATTAATTGTGACATTAGTTAAAAGAAAAATATCCGTATTTTAACGCAAATTACTGCATCTTTCAAAGAGCTTAACAAAAAATGTTAGTACAGCAAAATGTTAGCAAATGAATGTCAATGGTAGGTATATGGGTACAACAGCTATAGTTTCAACTTTTCTACGTATAGAAAATTTCGCTTTAAAAGTTTTTGGGAAAACAGCAGGAGGAGAGTAGCCACATTTAGCCACCTTTAAAACTAGTGGCAACAACATGGGTTTACAGTAAGTGCTCAAAAGTCTGCAACCTATCTTCAAAGTTATGATTTTTAAAAACAGATCAAGAAAAGATGGCAAAATATTTGTAATTCCTGATCTAGGTGGTGAACATGCAGATGTTCAAATGCTTATTTCAGTGGTTTTAGATTTTGTAAATCTGTAAAGAAAAAGCACTGGAATACAACTCAATCTTCCAAAGTATCTAAAAGAATTTACTAGAAAGTCCGAGCACAAATGCTTCAATGGAGGGCACCTGAAGACAACATCCTAGAGGCCTCCAGTGTAGGCTGTCCCTTTGGCTAAAACCTCAAGATTAAAATAAAGGACTCAATCTAAATAAAACATTTTTAATTACCCAGTGTTTAGCTTTAATGCCTACCAAGTGAATATATGAAGGCTTTCAGAGCACAACTCTCTCATATAAACATAAAAAAAAATTATTAAACAGCCTAAATCACTAAACATCTAAACATCAAGTGTAATACAGGAGCTCTTAAACATGAGCAAAATTCATAGGTACTATGAATTTGGAGGGGGAAAAATTCTACCTTCATTTTCCTAAACTTCATCAGAAATACAGCACTTCTTTCCATCGTAAGTAAATACATGCAACTGTGAACGAAAAGGGAGCTATATAAAAAACCTAACAAACTTAGGGGACTACCTGGCAGGCCAGATAAACTCAGTGACAGAAAGTGCCCACATAGGATATTCTGATCATAAGTTCCTACCTGAGCAGGTCATTTAGTCACGCCCCAGGCCTATAGCTTCCTTAGTAAATGGTCAATCTTTACCTTAGGCAAGCCTGTTTGTTGTTTCCTATGCATCTAGGATAAAATACCTTTAAAATGGCAGAGAAAGAAAATAATAAATAAAAATAAATAAAATAGCAGAGTAATTTTCTTTTCCAGACCCCTCAGCACAACCTTCAGCACCAACTCATGAGACCACCTAAGACTTGAGACCACCTGAGACTCCTTGTTATCTTGTTGCTCACATGCCATCTCTATTTACTATAAAAGTTAAATGTTAACTATCCTGCACCCACCAATATAAAAGTATAGGTGTCTCCATTTTGTTTTATCCAATCCTAGAGACCTCTCCGCCTTTCTTTCTCCTGCCTTTTTAATCTACCGCCATTGGATTTCATGTAACCTTCCTTATGTCCTCTCCTTTGATTTTGATGTATGAAATGAGCTGCAAAACTGCCATTCTATTAAGTATTTTCTCAACCAGTAAGATCTCGCTTCCCGGCATGTCCTCAGACTTGGCTTGACTAAACACTTAAAAATGTTTTCTATAGGTTTGGACATTCTTTTGTCGACACAACAAACCACAATATTATTACTAGTACCTCTTACTTTCTCAACAATAGAAATCACAGATCTTTTACATCCCAATGCATTTTTTTTTTTTTTTTGCAGTTCTCAAAATAGCTTTTAAGCTCATCAACTACTTCTGAGTTACCAGGCCCATAACAGAGCAGACATTGCCAGAGTGGACCAGCCATCAAATCATTAGTAAACAAACTGAAAACAGAACTAATGACTATTGTAAAACAAAACATTTGGCTGGCCCTTGTTCCAACTCCTGGGAAGCACCCTTAAATCCTTGGGATTTCATCAGTAACAGGTGTCCTTCTGAATCATGATGGGGATCCCTAGTATATGCTAACAAGATGACTCTGGATGGAGGCTGGCCACACCAGAAAGACTAACCACAGGATACAGGATTAGGGCTTTGAACTCCAGGGAGGGAAACTAGAGATTGAGTTCAACTTCATGGCCAATGAATCATGCTTACATAATGTAACCTCAAAAAAAAACTCTGGATATTCGAGCTGGAGTTGAGCATCCCTGGTCAACAACGCTCCGATTCCACACGCAGTTACACATCTACATGTGGGAGGAGACGGTCCCAACTCGTGGGAGGAGACGGTCCCAACTCCCGGGAGAGAACCAGAAGCTGCTCTCTGGCCCTCCCAGACCTTGCCCTACATGTTTCTTCTTTTGGCTGGTCCTGATTTGGATCCTTTTCTGCTATAATAAAACTGCAATTCATAAGTATAGCACTTTCTGGAGTTCTGTGAGTTCTAATAAATTGTTGAACCTGAGGGTTATAGGAACCCCAAATTTGTAGCCAGTTTGTCAGAAATGTGAGTTGCTTGGGAACCCCCAAGCTTGTAGCTGGTGTCTGCAGTGAGGGCAGTTGTGTTGGCAGACAGTGCCTCAGCCTGTGAAGTCTGATCTCACTCTGAGTCGCTAGTGTGTCAGGACTGCACTGCAATAACACAGATCTACAATACTCTCTAGTATTCCCTATCATCAATTATTTATTGATCAATATGTGAAGAGATAAATCAGAGTCTACCTCAATATATTTTCAATAAACATCAAACACTGTCATTTTATTATCTTAATACATATTTTTACCTGCATGTTAACAATAGCCTTGTCACTTAACATTAATAAAGTCATGTTACTACATTAAAATTATTTTCATATTTTTACAGCTACCTAAATATAATTGATTTCTTTTGTGATCTCGTGTTTTATTTATTTTATTTACAAACACCGAGAAAGCATCCACGGTTTCACCAGACTTCCAAAAGATCCATGGCACAATCCCCACCTAAACCCACTAGTAACAAGCAACTATGAATCCCTGCTGAGTCTTGAAATGCCACTTGCAGGCATCAATGTAAAGAACAAACAACTGGAATAGATGCACTTATAATTCAGACCACTCTCCTGAAAGCTAAAAAGTCAAATGAAATCTAAAAGAAAACTCCCAGCAGAAACTATGAGGAACCAGGGTTTCTTACTGGAATGGCTAATTCCAAGTCAGAGGCAGGAAATAAAAAAGGAGCCTAGTAATACACCTTGTAAGATCAGAAGCCAGGAAGACATCGCTGTGGTTGTATCAAAGAACACTTCCAACAACAAAAACTTGACACTGACACTTACACTAAAACTATGCTTGAAGGCATCAAAGAACTTGAAAATAGTAGTGCTGACAAAGGCATAATCTAGGGAAGTAAACTCTACAGTTGGAACCACTTTTACCCGAGAGCAACTTCCAAGTGTTAAGGGACAACTGAAAGATTCACAGCTTTGCAAGGTGAGAGGCCAAAGACCAGAACCCAAGACCCTCCAAAGGAAGGAGAGGGCTGGTGAACCCACGTCACATGAGGTGGAATCCTAAATTGCTCTTACGAGGCTGGAGGAATTCTAGCCAAGCTAAGAACTGCGGCCCAGCTACAACTCATCTGTATCCTAAAACGGAATTGAGATGATCATAGACTGTCCAATCCCTCAGATGCCTGGCTGAAGCTAGCTAGCATAAATCCTCTCTAGGGATATCATCCTAAACCCCAATT